AAAAACAATAAGTTTTCGGGTTTGCAAAGCACAAGTTACGACTGTAGATGTATTCTATACACGCCTGGTCGTGCGACGCATCGTATCCCTAAGTTCCCGAACCGCGAGTCCGATCTTCGTGCATCGCAGGCGCACGCGCCTGCGCCTGTTATGGAGTGTGAGTCAATCCCTTTTTCGTACAAGAGATGGTAAAACGCCCCTGAGAAGCCTCTAACATCTCAGACTGAGTGGAAAGCAGTTCCTACAAAAATAACACATTTCATTCGAGAATCAATCATTTCTGATACCAAGATTCTGAGTGCCTTCTCTGATATTGTGATATTTTCACTCTAGCTGATATGTCCTCAGAGCTCTTTGACTTGCTTAATGAAATAACTCCTCTACACTGTAATAAACCACAGAATCTTAGCAACAAAATGTTTATCGATCGTTGTCACAAAATAACCATGTAGTACGTGAAGTGTAAGACAAAAGCGCAAAGCGAGGCAGCAAGAAAGCTTATTCTAGTCATAATCGAGGAGACAATGAGATTCGGGGGACATCGGAAAACGGCAACGGTTCAACACACCACAACACAGATAAATAAAGCCACTTGGATCTTAGACGGGGCAGCAGATCTTAGTACTCATCTCCTTCTTCACCGTTGTCCTCCAAAGAGTCCACACCAACCTAAAAAAAATCCTTGTCAAGATTTTGTACGATAATGACTACACTTCAACCTCTTACGTCTCATCCTATAATAAATACCGAAAAATTTTGCAAAAAAACCTTCAAGTAAAGTTCAAAGATTGGATTTTGGTTAAAAAAGCGCTATTCTCGAATTTCGGAAATGGATATTCCTTAGCTTGTGTTTTTTACTATTTGTTTAATTTTTTCTTATTCACGTATAAAACAGACGCCCCTCCTCCAGTTATCGGCGGCAAAAACATAAAGTTGTAGTAATGTTCGATACAGGTCTCACACGATATGGTAGCATGAGAAAGTGGGCGGGGCTTCAAGTTGCGTTTCGCGCGTATTCTCCATCAACTAATATTCTCCGATAAAACAACAGAAATTCACAAAAATATTTTAGTACCTCAGTACGAGCAATAATAGATCTGGGTCCATAAACTTTACTTCTCGTTGAATTAGTTTTCTATAATTTTAAACTTTATAGAGACTCCGATCTAATATTCAGTTATCGCTGAATCTTTGCAATTTATGTTGAAACCACGCGAAAAATTTCCAGTAAACTTCACTATCTGGCACCATCTTAATTGGGTACTTCGCTGATTTATTCTCACTTTCCCCCTCTCCTACTGACCTCCCCCCACCCATCTGTACCTCTGCTCCATCATTACCTCTTCATAGTCCTTCTCCAGTGCTGCAAGATCCTCACGTGCCTCGGAAAACTCTCCTTCCTCCATTCCTTCGCCGACATACCTAGAATCGACACGGATTTCCGGATGACGATTTCTCGGTCAAAACGCTTGTTTCCTGCCTTACCAATGCACAAATGCCCTTTTCGCGTACATCAAGTCGAATTTATGGTCAAGTCGAGCCCACGCTTCAGCGATGGCGGTCGTATTCGAGAGCATACATACGGCTCTTGGTACCTTCGCCAAATCTCCACCTGGCACCACAGTCGGTGGTTGATAATTTATTCCGACCTGCAAAAATTCATTGAGATTTTGCGCATGAGAAAATTCGCAGGAAATCGGAAACTTATGCGAGTCAAGTCAACCTTAAATCCGGTTGGGCACCAATCGACGAATTGAATGGAGCGCTTTGTCTTGATAGTCGCAATTGC